TTAATTTTTTTAAACATTTTCTAATGGTGGTGTGCCTCGTGATTTTTTTCATGAAAAAAGTGTGCCTTTGCACAAAAAGGTTGAAAAACACTGCCATAGGTAACCTCACCCCAGCCATGTAGGGCTTTATAGGACCCAGCCAACACTTTGAACTGGACACGGAAGCAAACTGGCACCCAGTGCAGCTCACAGAGCTGAGTGTTACATGCACCCTTCTTTGGGCCCCTAAAATTACCTATGGGGCCACATTGTGTGCCTGTAGAAGCTTCTGGATACTCTTAAAGGGTAGCTCCATTCAGAATGCATCGCAATGACCCAAACGGGATGACAAAGGCATGAGTGATGGAGTCTCCCTATTCAGGAAAGGGCATAACATATGAGCAAATATTGTCTAACCAAACGTGGGCAAACTTATGTTAGACCTGCTTGAGGTGACTTAGATTTGCACCAATCAAGTGACACCTGCGAAAGCCAGAGCCGGATTTTGGGCAACTGGCAAGGGGCTGCAAAGGGAAGTGTCATGTCGCTTCCCAAAGCAGCTTTGAGGGAGCACTTTGCTCAAGCCACATTGCCAATAGCCCATCAGTCAGAATGGTGGTAAACAGGTGGGGGGGAATGGCCTTTCATGCACATACATACATGGCAAGGGGCAAATGACTCTGAGTCCCTTCCCTGGCTTATTTTGCCCCAAGCCATATCCTTCATCCTTTATTCTTTCTTGGGGAACTCAGTTTAAGAACTGAAACTGCCTAAGGAGCCATTAGAACACTGTAAGCAAACATCCCTTTTGCCTGAAGATGCCTACTTTTTCTTTATAAATGGTGTAAAGCTTTACGTACATCTCCCCCAAATCTCCTCTGTTCTCCACATGCAGAGTTTCCTGCAGTCTCTGTCTCAGCCTCACTGAGAACACCATTCCCATAATGGAGCATAAACAAACACCAAGTTGAAATCTTGCTCAGGTTTATACTAGAGTGAGATCAGAAGAGAATCTGCATTTCTGCTTCAGGGGGTGAATGAATTAGGGTGGTGACAATGAAATGTTATAGTCTTGTGAAATTAGAGCAAGTGGAAAGCTATGATGCCGGACCTTTACTGCTAAGAAACCACTTAGTACATCTGGACTGTTAATTATTGTGAATCATCTTGTCAGGTTCTGGATTATTAGTAACACGGTGTAGTTTACTGCCACAAGAGGTCTGAAATAGAGCAAATCTAACTATTTCAGCATTTTCATTGTTGCACATTATTGCACAACCAGCTTCACCAAGATGCCTTTCGTAATAGTTGCTAGATATGTTTGACCAGTTGTGTATTGGGTGTAAAACCATCAATCAAAACGCAGGAACTCACCCATTTATTGAAGAAAGAAACAAAGCCATATCCTTTTGATTTTCCTGTTGCCATGTCCTTAACAACTCGGGCATCCCTGGAAAGGAAAGAGAAAGCTAGTTAAGCATCAACTGAACAGAATCCAAGTCAAAAATGTCTCACACGCAGCTCATTTCTCATGTTTTCCTTTAATAAAATGAACTTCTTAAATGCACCAGCAATATACAGTCAAAGCAATTTTCCCTTTTACTAAAGTCTTATCACGATAGCAAAAATTAAACTTAATTCTGTAAACATGCAAAATCAATAGTTTTAAAAACAACTATTTTACAGTGGTTGGTTCACAGTTCAATGCTCTTATATACTATTAAAAACACTACGCATGGTCAAAGCAGCTATTCAAAGGAATAACTGAGGGCATGTAGTTGGCTAGCATATTAGCAACAGGCTCTCTTGAACCATGCAATTTATAAACTTACTATTGGCCAACACATTCTACCTACTTATTAGAAATAGAAAATAGAAAAAATGAAAAAATAGGAATTAAAAGGCATACGTCGCCTGTTAACTGAATTCTTTAATTTTCTCAGGTCAATTCGTTACCCCCTTTTTGGACTTGGGCAGCTGTAAATTTTGAGAAATTGACATTTTCAGAAATGGTTGCATTATGGAAGAAAATAAACACTAACATGTTTTTTAAACTATACACTATTAAATAATTTTTAAAAACTGCATTCGTAATTAACAATCATACAGGACTGATTGAAAACTACAAAATATATAAAGTAAAAATTTATAAAAGTAAATAGAAAAACTACAACGTTTGTCCACTGTGAACTGTAGCTTGCAGTTAGCCATGGCAATGCTGTCCATTCTTCAGAGACATTCTGCAAAATAACCAGAGCCCTATTATTTGAGATTGAGTTAAAAAAGACAAAGACCCAGCTACAATAGCTAAACCCCACTGGCAGAAATGCCATTTTTCATTAATTAAAGGCATCTCAGATAATTTATGCATGAAGGGTGCACTATCGAGAAGGCTGAAGACACGCAGCCATCTCTACCCTCCCCAACCCACACGATTTAGGCACGACACGCACAGACACACAATCACAGAGTAAAGCCAGGGAGAAGGCCATGCAGGGTGCCCAAAAGACCCAGTCCCATACACTCAAGCTGGAAGAGGCTTCAGGTGATGCCAATCAGTCCTCCAAAGAATTTCTACAGACATTCAGTATCTACCTTCTGGTACTTAAGATACAGGAAAGAAGCTAAGGAATTGGAAAATCACTGAAACAGCCAACTAGTTATCAAGATCATTAAAGATATTACTCCATAAGAAAGAAAATAACTGAATAATCCAGCAGAAAAGGATATTTGCCTTAAACATTTAGTTATCTGAGTTAGAGCAGGGAACATTTAATTTCATAATGACATGGATGAGTCTCTGTACTTAGCACTTAACTGCCATTTTTTAAAATAAGAACCCAAACCACAAACACATAGACATGCTAGTCAAACCCTGATAGAATAAATGCATTTGTACAATTATCAATTTGTTCTAAGTATATATTAAAGTTTATATAAATACTCAATGTTTCAAATCAATACTTCTGGAACTATCAGAATATCAGAAATTATTTTCACCCCAAAATTGAAAGCTACCCCATCAAGAGAATAAAATAGGTTTTTAACGTTTTCAGTATACTAAATATGTAGCATTACAAATCAGCTATAAAAATAACAGATGGAGTACATATTCTTCTACTTCTACTTCCTGCATTAGATAAAGGAAACTTGAAAACCACCTGCTGATTATATTTTTATTTTTAAATATGATGTTCTGTCCTTGTCACATCTCCTTCAGAGGTTAAGGAACAAGAGTTTGGGCTACTGATGTAATATAAATACACTGGCCACACTAACCCTGTGTGTGTTAGGATTAGCACCAGCATTCTGGATCACGAGCTAGTGGGGCAGAAGTTTTTGGTTTCGAGGATGGATGTGTAGAGAGTCTTTATTCTGCCCTTCCTACATCTAGGCTGGCACTAATATTGATGCAGCCGTTGAGCATCACTTAGAACAAAGCTGGCTGGGGTGGGTAACACACAGGCCTTCCCTTCAAGAGTCAACTGCAGACTTACATCACAGCATTAGCAGAACTTTTAAAGTTAACTCTTGCCTGAAGTTTACAAGTTTATCATATTTAAAACAGAGTTGCTATGATTGCAGAAATTTAAACTTAAATACTAAACATGGGCAAATTTTGAACTGGAATATGTTCTAGGCCTTCAACTGGCCAAGTCCACAAACCAAGCCATCAGCAAGTTGTATATATCTTGTGTTTATATATCCTATATATCCTGCTGTGAAAATTGAGCCATTGTGGGTTAGGAAGCCTGGTTTCTGGCATCCTGAAAATCTCAGGTCTCAAAATAGAATAAAATGATGTCCAGAATGCTGGATAAAAATAGACTGGACACTTGAATGAGGAAGAACTTAAGGGCTACAATTGTAGATTCACTGAATCACCTTCTTTCTATCTCAGTCTGTCTGAATCAAAATCACTATTTCCAAAACGAGGACAGACCACTTTCGGCAGTCCTAAGGGCTACAGAGATCTCCACAAAAGTACTGTACTCTTTAAAGGCCAACAGGTGTAACTGTAGCAGTGCAGGGGGGAGGGGAGCCAATGCCCTCCCCTCCTCCATCCCATAGGCTCCCATGTGAATATGGAAGATCTAAAGAGGAACTACAACCACATGCAACTGAATAGATTTGTCTTTGTGAGAATGGCAAACCAGTGCAGCTCAAGTTATCTATGGTTAGTTCTGCCCCCTCATTCATGGAGGCCGAGGGGTGGGACTGGAGCGCACATGCCCTTCACTGACATTAGGGGTTGGTCCCTGAAAGGGCCCATGAATCGGATACTTCAACTGCAGCTGACAAACAACACATTTTATGCTGGTATTCAATGCATCATAAATATTAAAGATTGCTTTTTACTTCCATTCAATTGTGTCCAATTCTCAGTGTGTGCCTGGACATGTCACTGCAGGGTTTTGCTAAGATATGTCAGAAGTGGTTTGCCACTGCCTCCTTTCTAGGGCTGAGAGAAGTGACTGGCTTGATGTCCAAGGCAGGACTAGATCTCATAGTTTCCTGGTTTCTAGCTTGATGTCTTAACTACTACATCAAACTAGTTTATCCTTTAAACAAAAATGGAAGTGATTTTTAGTGTATAAATCTGAGAAGAATGTTTACACATTATATTTTTTGCTTCTGAATCGCAGCAGCCAAAATATTTTAACCAAAAGTTCTTTAGGAAAAAGACCACTAAGAATAAACTTTGGTCAAAGGCTTCCTTTTCCCCCAGGAGAAAAACTTTTTCTCAAAACATATCAGAGTATTTTAATTTTCAACACAGTATCCCTTGACACGCACTAGGATTACTGCCTAATTACAACATAAGATACTCTGCTTTTTTCAGAATAAGTAATATAGTCGCTTTTTGTGAGATGGGCGGCTATACAAATTCAATTATTAAATACATACTGTATTGTAAGAGAATTATGGTTATTCTTAATGGAATTCCATATTGTTTAAGTTTGCTTTCCATTAACATGGCTTCTTAAGTATTGTTTGTTATTTGTTGAAGTTAGGCAGTCACAATACCTGTGGCTAAATAAATATGTAAATTAAAAAGCTCTCATGATAGAAGGAAAAGGAGCACAAGCTTCAGGATCCAGGCTGTAGCTGAAGCCTCTTGTCTGGATCAACTCTTGTTTGGGGCAGAAGGGGAATCGCTTACAAGGGGCAGAGGAAGAACGTCACATATCTGCTGTCTGAAAAAAGGGTGGCCATGCTTATGACAGCAGCTATTTTGAGGGACTCCCAACATCCCCAAAGCCAGAAACAGACGGGGGCCTTTAAGACGAGGGAATCCTGCCGTAGCGTTTGCTGACAGCTAGGCGCAAGGCAGAGGGCTGCCCCAAGTCTGCCATGGGCACAGAGAGACCTCTCTAGGGATGGGGAAAAAACAGCCCCATTCTTCCTTTTGCTGGCCCAGGAGCACTCATAGATCCTATTTTTCTTTAATGGGACTTCATGAAGGGAAGCACTAGCAAGAGGCCTTGCAAAGGGAAGTATTCCTTAGATCTTCCGCATAGCTTTGTGGGCAAGAACAGGCAGCCTCTTATCATCCATTCAAAATGGATGGAGAAACCCTAATTAGACGTGGGGGTTGCGCATCATATGAACAACTGAACTCAGCAGGCGGCTTTTTTGCTCAGAGCAGCATCTAAGTTATTTGAGGCTCAAGTGGTCTCTTCAAGTCATTTGTACCATGCAAACCGGTGCAAGAGAGCGAACTCTCTCATCCTGCTGCCAGCAGAGACCAGCTGCTTTAGGAATGCTCTCCCCTTGGTCTCCACTTTAATCATTGCCCATGCCACAAAGGAAGAAACGAGCAAAAAGGGCAGCTTGCACCCTAATTTCATCTATACTAATACTAACCAATTGGGCAATCTGATTTTTATTTTTTTAAAAAATCTGCAATAAAGGGAAGATTTCCAGTCAACTGTGTAGCAGCTGAGAGGTGATTTCTCCCAGTTGACTAGAGCCTTTGTGATGGCATGCTGGTGGCCCAGAGCATTTCCCTGCACTGCGCAGGTCCAGGCAATGTGAGCAGCGTACGAGACAACTTTTTCTTGGCTTTTATCAGTCCTGAAAATAGCTAATTGTGGTTGAATTGAGGTTTTAAACAGTCAGGAATAATAAGAAGAGCAGTCTTCGAGAGGAAGAAACAAAAGACCCAGTCACCTCCCTTGGCTCTCAGGAAGTCTGCACAAGTTACAAAACGAATGAATCACTTCATGACGTTTTACATTTGGAAATCAGTTTTTCAAGCTATTGTTATTCAACCTTTGGGGAGTCCTAAAATCAGATTAAGTAAAAGGATACATTGTTACCATGTCACTCTAGCTTCAATGGACATCTGTAGCAACAGCAGCAATTCACTACACTGGATACCAATTTCTAGTTTATTTTATTTAATAGAGCACCCATTTCACAAAAAGCCAAAGTCTTGTAGGCCACATTTTCTCTGAAACCCGATGAATTTGAAAGCTGCTTTAATGAGACTATATGATACCTCAGGAGACACTCGAGAGACCTTACTTATCATGAGAATCCACTCTAGAAAGTGAACTAAATAAGTCATAGAACACAGACTTTCAAATATTGTAAAATGTACGTATCTTCTAAAATATTAAGCACAATTAGTAAAACTAACTGGATTATTTGAATACAAAACAGATGCTTCTCTTTAGAGAATACAAATTAACTTGCTAACACTCTATTCATAGCATTCAACTGAATACTTGACTGCCCCCAATATCTGACAATAAGACGTTACTTACGATATTCTTCCAAATGGTGCAAAAGCTGCTTTTATATCTTCAGTTGTAATTTCTGGGCTGAGGTCTCCAACAAAGACATGGAAGTGGTCTTTTCAAGAAAAGAGAAAAATGTACAAGTTTGCAGAGTGTTCATAGAAGTGTAGGTGATGGTAATTTTAAAAATCTTGTACTGATTTCCACACAATAGAAACTATATGAAAACTAGATTTTATTAACCTATCAGATAACAAAATACAACATTGTTTTATTATATATCCATCAGAAGACATGGCAGTACAAAAGTATAGAAAATTTACATAAAACTAACATTTATTGTTTTTATATTATCTGTAATCATAGCAGAAAATATATTACCATGAGAACTATGCTCATGTAGCTCAAAGTCAGAGCAAACAATATGCTGCATTTGTAGCTTTGTTTTGTAGTTACTAGCATTAAAAAAGCTACCACATCTACTGGTTCCGTGAGCAAGAGAGTAAAATTTACACCAACTAGTTATAGAGAACCTAAGTTACATATAGCTCAAACTTAATTCATATTTTGTGAAGAACAGTCAAAAAGATACCTTGCATTGCAACAGTTTGATGTTAAAGTATTTGACAGTTTTCTGAAAAGCCAAGAGTTTTGATTGCCCAGCCTTTACACCATGTGAATCCATGTGAATTCAAAGTATGTGAAATCCATGAGCAAGTGAACTAAGACTGAAGGCAACAGAACGGAAAGAGTAATCCCTTCATAATTTAGATTAGATCCATTTACATAAGAACTGGCGAAACACAGGTGTCATATCTAAGGAGGTTCTTCATAGTCACACAAAGCCCACTTCAATTTTCCACACCTCTAACAGGTTTCACGGCACACCTGGTGCTGCAACAGCACCGCTCTGGCAAGAATCCCTTTACATCCTCCCCAAGTTCTCAGAGCTCTCAGGCCAGGCAAGTAGAGAGGCAGCCCCGGGATGCCGAATAACAGGAGGGAAGGAAGATCCAATTGGAGGAGCAACTGGTACCTCACAAGAAATGTGAGGGTGCAGCGTGGGCAGCAGCTTCCCCTCAGAGGGGACACGCCCACTGGGGTCACAGGGCTTACAAGTCGGCAACAGTCCACATCCTGATCCATCTGAGAGGAGGAGGAGGCAGAAAGCTTGCGACAACATAATCACCCCCCCCAATAGCTTCAGGCGGTTAGTGAATAGATACCCCTGAGAGATTTCATTTTATGTTTAAGAAGATACAATTACCTTGTGAACGCAGTGTGTTGACAACGGTACTACCTGATGACAAAGATTAGATTTGTTCTTAAGTTTATTAACACAAACACATTAAATAATATCTTAGGATAATGATCAAAATAATAGGGCAAATATTTGCATGATGCTTATTGCTTAACATTAAAAACACTTTTGTGCAAATAAAGAGTAATGACTCAGGATAGGAAGGGACTTACTGCTGGTATCTTTCTTCTGGCTGCTGGGGGTTGTTGCCCAGTTCACTTTGACCTCCTAGAAATAATATTTACTAGAATTATATCCAGGAAAGTTAGAACAAACATTAATATAATCTGCAGTCCTCTCAATGCTTTGACATATTATACAGTGAAACCTTGAATTAACAGATTTTTTTTGGGGTGGGGGGTGGGGGGGGGAGACAGAAGGCATTGTTCCTGAATGTCAGGGGAACTGCAAATCATATCGTTCATGGCAATTTGTCATGTGGGCTACACCATCAAATACAAACGACATAAGTCACAGCAATTAATATTACTTAACATAAATTTAACTGACGTAAATTTTGACTGATGATTTATCTACTTCAGAGGTAACAGACTTGCCCACTGCTTCTGGGAAAAATCCAGGCAAAAAAATCATCCATGAAATCCAAAGGCTGCTAACAGGTATCTCGTTACATTGAGATTTTGCAGCATTTAAAACATGACTTTGCTGTATTTAGCAATTAAGTGGTATATCAAAAAACAACAAAGACTCTTCCACAAATGAAGTTGAATAGCAAGTAACTTTAATTTTCCTTTTTATAACGTTAAGCTCTATTTTGCCATGCTACTTTCTCCAAGTTTCATTTGTGAAGTCATCATGCAGTTTTAGCTCAAAATATTTTTAAGAACTCAGTTCAATTCTGCAATACACAGGGCTCAAACAGGATAAAAGTTTACCTTTAGATTTTCTTCTTTTTTAAAACATGATTTCCTCCATCTATTTAAAGCCACAGTCCTGTTCCACGTCCCCTTTAGACCTGAGAGCTTACCTTACCCATTATCTTCCGCCCATTCATTGCCGCTAAAGCTGCGGCTGCGTGACGATGCTCATAGAATTCCACAAAACAGTACGGATCATTTCCAGCTGTCTGCTTAAACAGAGAGGACAAAAAGTCATTCTTACCCTCTAGGAAGATCCTTTGTTAAGCACACCAAAATATTGACAGAGAAAGGATCGTTCTATCCCCCAAGAAAGTATTCAAAAGTAATTATTTTAGACTTCTTAAATGGATGTATTATTTTTAACAGCCAAACTGAAAGTGCAAGCCTATACATCTCTATCTGAATCACTAAACCTGATATTTTTGAATAGATACACATTCCTTTTATGTTTTGTACTTTGTAATCTTATTTATTTTAGTTTATTTTTACTTTAACAGGATTACAGCATTTCATGAACCTTTGCAAGTAATTTTTAGAATGAGTTTTTAATATTATTTAATATTAAACTTTACAGTATAAAAACAGTAACATTATCCATTTGTTTTACTATTCTGAATGTGATTCAGTATCCTACATGTACCGCAAAGTTGATGAGATACAGGCAACAGGAAGTTGGACTTGGGTACTTGAGAGACCGTCTCCTGCCAATTACCTCCCTACGACCAATTAGATCCCACAGATTAGACCTCCTCCGGATTCCATCAGCTAGTCAGTGTCGATTGTCGACCCCCCCCCGGGGGAGGGCCTTCTCTGTGGCTGCTCCAGCCCTCTGGAACGATCTCCCCGTGGAGATTAGGACCCCTCACCACCCTCAAGACCTGGCTGTTCCGGCAGACCTGGGGCTGATGAGTTCCCAGCCCCACTCGAATTGTTGTGGCTGTTGAGGAGTTTTAATCTGTTTTTTGTAATTGTTCTGTCTTGTTTGTTTTTTGTATTACCCCTCCCCTATGAGTTTGTTAGCTGCCCTGAGTCCCCCCGGGAATAGGGTGGCATACAAGTTTAATAAACCATAACCAAACCATAACTTGCCAGGACTTCTCTAGATTAAAGATTCTAGTTTTATTTAGCAGTGTATGTTTATGGTAGGCACGTCTAACTTGTGGCCCATGGGCTACATGCAGTCCTGGATAGCTAGCTAATCAAAAACATTAAAAAACCAAAGGAAGCTTATTAATTATAGAGATTAATTATTTTATATATTTTACATGTGGTCCACGACAATTCCTCTTCACTCAATGCAGGCTAAGTGAGCCAAAAGGTTGGACAACCATGACTTAGGATAAAACGGGACTTTGACTGCACACCTGGCATATTGGTTAAATAAAGCAATTTATCTGGTCAATTTTTTTCTTTCTTAGTATGTGAATTTATGGGAAGAAAGTCCAACCTCCCTTGAATTCTGCTATCTAACACCAAGCAGGTACTATTAATTAAGAATATTCCTGTCCATAGGCATGAGTACACAAACACACTATAATTTTAACCGATATATAACCAAGTTCTATGCACATGAAAAATTCTTATCTGATATCAACTTACATCCATTATCATTTTGCAATTTTTGCACGGTCCAATCTGACTGAACAGCTGGAGAATTAGGGCCTCGGTGACATCTCTTGACAGATTCCCCACGTACCTGTAAAATATACACATTGAAACTTGTAAATCTTACATAACAAAAGGGTAGCAGAGGGAGCACCAGACTGTCCTCCAGCTTAGTAATTATTAAAATATCTAAGAAGGTATTTAGAAGACTGAGCTAAGGAACAAAACTACACTCTTGATTTGAAAATCTGTATTGATCAAAGCCAAAATTAAAATCTAACAGCAGTAATGAAGCCTGTGCAAATAAGCACAAACAAGAGATTGGGCCACCCATTTGTTGGTCTCCTGCTCGAGCTACAGATAGTAAACTTACTAACAGACTTACAACCACAATTATGGTCCACATTTCTGCTAGTAAGCATGACAATTAAATGAATTTTGTCCTTTACGATCTTTCTCGAAGTTGCTAGATGAATAACGCTGGTGTTAAGTGAATCTGGTTTCCCCACTTGGCTTGTCAAAAGTTTGAAAAAGATGATCATGTAACCCTGAGACACTGCAACCATCATAAATATGAACTAATTGCCAAGCATCCAAAATCTGATCATGTGACCATGGGGATGCTACAGCAGTCATGTGAAAAATGGTCATACATCACTTTTTTGTGTCATAACTTCGAAAGGTCACTAAACAAATGGTTGTAAGGCGAGGACTACCTGTAGAAAACTTCTAAGACTTTTATTTCTTATATTATGCACAAAATTAGTAGTATTTTTACAAAGTATCCATACTGTATTTATCTTTCAGATATTATCTTTTTAAAATTTGGATTTCTTTTGCTCTATATTTGTAATTGCTAAGTATTAACTCTTCATCAAAGACCTGTTATTTAACTATTTTAAACTTTTTTCAAGTAAAGGACAATAGAAAAATTGTACTTGATAGCCTCTTAAATTTAACTTTTGGTTTCACAAGTTTACATTAATGTTTGCCTTATTTTTTAAGTCTTAAGAAATTATTGCACTTTATTTGCTACTTATCTATGAATTAAATACAAAATTATTCCAAGAATGAAGCTGCCCATACACTGGTACTGCTGGGAACAGCTTCAGTCTTAGAGGACCAGGCTACAATTGAGATTCTGAGGGTATACTTTCTCTTACAAGCTTTCATTGGTACAATAAAGGCATATCCTATTCAAGGACAGGGAATTAGTTATTGTTTTTCATGGTTTGTGACCTGCAGATGACTCCATGAAAATATATTCAGCACGAGGTTTGAAAAGCTACTCAGTGCAAAATGTACCAGCTGTTTTAAAAGCTGCTCCACAGGCTACAGATACGATTCCATACACAGTCAATACTGATTTAATGCCCTGTGGCTGGATTCTTAATACCTCCTTCTCAAATGAGTCTTGCCTGCTAAAGAAGAAACACGGAGGCTATGCTAAAAGAAGGGATAATAATCATATGTAAAAACTAAGCTCATAGGTGTGAAGTTTTATGAAGAACCTGGAAAGGTCCTTTAAAGATAGATCTTTTTTTTAGTTGTTCTAAGCTCTATGTCCAATAATTGATTAAACACCAGTTTATATTTGGTATTTGTTTTAAATGATTGCATTATTAGAACTTTAATTTTTAAGTTATTCCTGAAATAAACAAAATGTCAAAGTGCTAATAGGTTTGACTAGCAATATGTTAAAGTCCCCTCATCTTTCAACTACAGCAATCCTTATGAATCCAGTCATTCCAGATAGCCTCAGCTTCAATCCACATAATCTCAGATAATGTAATTATTGGCCATCCTGGCTGAGAAACTGTGGGGCTTGAAAGAAAGTAATTGAGAAAACTAATTAGAAGCATAAGCTACTAAAATGCAAATGGTCAATAAAAATATGTCAACATGAGGAAAGTTAAAGACCGAAATGTATTTTTTGTCTGAGAGCCTATGAGGGGCCCCTTCATGTTAATAGACACCAAATGTTTCCTGGGTATCAAAATAGGGTAAAAATGCTGAACATTTTTCTTTAAAACAAAATATGAATATATAACGGATCAGCATAAAAAGCAACCAAACAGAAGGTAGTATAAACTAAAACCTAGATTAGGAACTAGGATAGGCTAAGGAATTATCGACATAATTAAACCAAGGCATTTAGTACCGCAGTTTAACACTCCTGAACCTTTTTTGTGGGGGGAGGGGGTGGAGACTGGCTACAACACGTAACCCAACTCGACAGAAGGCAGAAAAGGTGGTGGCGTCTTCTGCCTTTTGCTCAGCGCCTGGCATCTCCTTCGGAAAAAGGAGGGGCTGCGCTCTCTGCAATTTCTGCGAAGCCGCCAACGAAACGCAGGGCAACCCAGCTGGCTGAAAGCGATCCCCGTCCGGCCAGAGACCTCTCTGAAACTCCCCCCACCCCCGGAGGAGAGCAGGAGTGCCGGGCATGTGCGTGGCCGCCAGAGCAGCCAAACTTCCCCCTTTCCTGGGGAGGGACCGTCACGAGGGAGGCTGGGGCCAGGAAAGAGAAGACGGAGACGGAAAGCTGGTGACAAAAGAAACGGAACCCGGTAAGCGGGACTGGAAAGTTAGACTCTTCCCCCTGGAAAGGTTTAAGGCCACAAGGGAAGATGCGCCTCAACGCCATTCCCGCTCTTCTTCCGCCCAGCCTGGTTCACCCACGGACGGAGCCCCATGCTTCCCAGCAGGCCCCGCGGCCTCCCGCTTCCCTCCTAGATGGGCCGGGGATCCTCCCTTGTGACCGCCCAGCGCAGGCTCCCCGCTCCAAACCAGCCCGTGCGGCCGGGAGAGGCGAGCCCGGAGCAGCGTCTCGGGGCGCCGGACCACCCGGGAGGCCGCGGCCCCGTTCCCCGGCGGGCATCCCGACCCGGCCTGAGAAGCCGAAGAACCGCTTGAAGGAGGCGGCCACCCGCAGCGGGAACCGAGGCCTGTCCGTCAGGCTCGCGGCGGGAAGGCGCGGGAACAACGTGGCCGGGGTCCTCCCACCGCGCGCGCGGGGCTCCCGCCAGACTCACAGGGTCTTCGGCATCTCATCTTCCATAGCGGCGGCAGCGGCGCCTTGGCCGCACCGGTCAGGCGTGGGCGACCCGCGGGCAGAGTCCGCGAGGCAAGGAGGCGGCCCTCACGTAGGCCCGACGGACAACGAACCCACCGCCCGTCCTCTCAAGATGGCGCTGCTGGGCGGAGAGGCCCGGCCGGCCGACGGAAAGGCGCCTCCGCGCACGCGCAACGTCTCCCGCCAGTGCACTCGCCCGAGGAAGCCCCGCCTTCGCAGCGGCTCACCCAATCCTGCCTCCCCTGGAGGCGTCCTTTCGGGCGGCGGATCTCGCGAGGCCTCTCCCGAACGCCTGCGCGGTACTGCTGTTTTACAGATCGCATCTCCGCTGCTGTTGTACAAAGCTCCGCTTGTTTCCTTTCTTGTAAAAAAAGAAAAAGAAAAAATAGATTCAAGTCATCATTTGGTGGAGGAAGTAGGCAAATTTGGTGATGGGCGCTAAAAAAAGGGGGTGCTGAATGAAGCGGCAAAAGGAGATTGCGCCGCCCGGGAATCGAACCCGGGTCGCAAGAATGGGAATCTTGCATGATACCACTACACCAGCGGCGCTCTTGCAAATTTGCTTGGGAAGAATCGTCTAGAAAGCAGGGCCTGAAGATCAACCTGCCTATAAAGGCTTTAAGAATATAAACCCTCAGATACAGTATTATTAAAATGAATTCTTCCAAAATGAAAGCAACAATTAATTGATAGAAAAAAATTGAACTAAATTTACATATTAAATTGAATAGAAAATTCTTACAAAAATTCATGCACCAAATTGCCTTGTAAAATACTGTTCTAAAAAGTTTCCAGCATCTCCAAATATCACTTGAATCCAGAGAGTCAAAGCACAGACTCCCAAATACTTCACAAAATGTCCATATCTTTTAGATAGCTTACTAATTAAAAATGTTTATCCCTGAACTTAGTCCAATTATATTTCAGTTATTTAAAAAAGTATAGCAGTTATTAAAAATAGAACAAATTATACTGCAGACATCATAATTGATATAAAGGCAAGGATGAATATTCTCAGTTTGACAAGGGGTTTTTTTGTGTCAAAAACATGCCTTGTCTGAATGTGAAAGACGTTCATATCACATTAAAAATGAATGTAAATCAAGAAGACATAAAGTTACACATACGACCTGCATATTTTGTGCATTTTTTAGTCTACTTGTTCCAAGAAAAGAATACTTTTGAGGCTCTGCAAAGAAAAGAAGACACTTATTTTTAAAGAAAGAAAGTATTCCTCCAAATTGACTTATAAGTGGAAACCTCATTTCTTACTTCTCTTTTAGAATCCTCTAGAGCAAGGCTCCCCAAACGTGGCCACTTTAAGACTCGCGGACTTCAATTCCCAGGCTGGAGAATTCTGGGAGTTGAAGTCCCCGAGTCTTAAAGTGGCCAAGTTTGAAGCCCTCTGCTCTAGAGTCCCAGGAATAGGTAGAGTATAAAAACTGTAAATCAGTGAATATTCTACACAGGAAACTCTGAACGTTGCCTTTTTCCCAACCCAATGAAAGGCGGGTGCTCCAGGAGGCTCCATCGGTCACCAGGGCAACTCCAGGGGGAGGGGAAGGGGCAAAGGGGGAAGGAGGCGGGGCCTCCCTCCGCGCTCCTTCGGCCATGGCTCCACGGGCGCTCCTGTCGCCGCTGCTGCTGCTGCTCCTCCTCCTCTCCTGCGGCGGGGAGGCCTCGGGGCCGCCGGAGCTCCGCCACCCGCCCTCCCGCATCGGTAGACAGGCGCGCGGGGCGGGCGGGCGGGGGTGGGGTGGGGGGTCTGGCCCGCAGTCCTCGCTCGCCGGGGACGCCTCCGCTTCTCCCGCGGCCTGGCGCCGGGCACGGAGTCCCCAGGAGGGCTGACGGGCCGGCCGAAGAGGCTGGGGATGGGCCGAGTGGGGACTCGGGCAGCCCTACCTCGCAGGGGGATTGTGAGGGGGGGCGAGGAAGGCCTTGTCCAGCGGGAGGGGTGGGGGTCTCGGGTGGGGGCTTTGGGGAAGGGAGCGACGCGGCTGCCTCTTGCAGGGGTGATCGGGGCCGGCATCGGGGGCTCCTCGGCAGCCTATTTCCTGCGCCAGAAGTTCGGGCCGGAGGTGCGGATCGACGTCTTCGAGCGGGGAGAGGTGGGGGGCCGCCTGGCCACCGTCCAGCTGGAAGGGAGGGACTACGAAGCGGGGGGAGCCGTCCTGCACCCGCTCAACCTCCACCTGAAGCACTTCGTGAAGGAGCTGGGTGAGGCTCTCCCTCCCTCCGGGCCTTTCCCTCCCCTGGTTCGAAGGGGGACTCTCTCTCTCTTTACCCAATCCCCCCCGCTGAGGAAGGGGGCTCGGCGGGTTCTCCAAAGGGGTCGGCGCCTGGGATGAGACAGGCTCTTTGGGACAACTGCCTGAATTGCTCTCCCGATCTAATGGCCTCTTTCTTCCCCCTGGAGATTCTCCAATAATTCCTGCCATGTCAGCAGTTTCTCTTTGCCTCTTCCTTCTCTGTAAAGGGCTTGTGCCGAGGTCCACAGGGGGGTTTTTGGGCCCAGCTTGGGTTTACTTTGCATCCATATTCTTCCTCTGGAACAACTAATAAAAGTGGTCTTTAAAGTCCATTTTAACTTCAATGATCCTACCCTCAATATTCCCTGGCATTCGATGCCCTTCTAAACGAGTTTGATTTCTCAGCAACAGGCATTCTTTCATCCAAAGCAAACCAACAAGCTGCAAAATGTATTTCAAATCCAGTAAATCCAGTCCTCTTCCCTTTGCATCTTGTAACATTTGGTTCCACCACAAAAGCGCGTAGGACAAAATCGCGCTCGACAAAAGCGCGCTGTGACGTCATCACAGCGCGA